CCCCACCCCCCTGCAACTGGCTGTCCCCACACCTCTGACCCTCTCAGCCATAAAGCCCTCCATACCCAGACCCCAGTCTCCTCAAAAATATAGTCAATCCCCAGTTCCCAATCAACCCAGAGCTAGGACACACCCCGTTTTCTTTTATTTATACAAAAAAGGTTTGTTTTGTTTTTTTTTTTTAAATATAATTTAAGAACCTCTCCAAGCACCGGTGTCTGTCTCTGGTTTCCACCACCACCTCACCCCCTCTTCACTACCTCAACTTGCCAACCCCTCTCGGACTCAGGGGGTCCTCGGGGGCAGGCAAACATCTGGGGCTGTGGCGTGACCAAGGCACTGTTCAGGAAACAAGACACAAGGACAGGACCCTGCTTCAGCTTGGGCAAAGGAGGTGGTAGTGAAACAGGTGCCCTCTGACACAAAAAAGGACAAGAACGGTAGAAAAAGAAAATAAAAAAACAAAGGCAGGAGGAAGGGGATTGGAAAAATAAGACCAAAAACAAAAAATAAAACTCAAAAACCTTCAATATGAAGGTGGCAGATGGGGGAGGGGCATTTACAAGGGAGAAATGATTGAGTTCCGTGGCAACAGCAGCAAGTTGGGACATCAAAGTCCAATGATTTTGGCACTGGGCCGTGACACCCCTTCCTGCCTCCTGGGACAGCACGCACTCCTGAGTGAGCTTGTCACCCTCTCTTTGGTCTGCAGGGACACGCCCATCAAGGTAGGGGGAAGCATCTGGGAAGCCCTCTGGGGAGGCTGGGGGATTAAGGGCGCTTCCTTCCCTCTGGTCACACCCAGTTCTGAGGGAAACGCCCCTCACCCTTGTCTGGAGTTCCCACCTAGGGATGGGGGTGAGGGTGTGAGTTCTACACTCCCATATGGCAGAAGCCCCAAATCCTATCTCTCCAAATTACCAGCTCCCACTCCCATATGTTCAAAGTGCAATCCAGTGGGGTGCAGGGATGGGGTCTCTGTGAGTCCCCACCAGCTCTGCCCCAGGAAGAAAGGGAGGCCGTGTCCCTGGGGTGGGAATTCTTGTAAGTCAGAACTGCGGGGCTGGCCCTCCTGTCCCACTTGAGGCTCCTGGCTTGGCCTGCGACTTCATGTGCTGGACACTGGCCAAGATTTTCTTCTGGTGTCCCGCCAGAGTGACTCCAATTCGGAGCAGGTCCCTGTGGAAGAACAGAGATCTCAGTGAGGCCATGGGACTCCCGCTTTCCTAGCTCAGCCTGACCCCTTCCTGGTTGTGGGGTTGTCAGCCAGTCAGGAAGGCTAGCCCGGAGAGGGGGGCCAGCGCCTTAGTTGTAGGGCAGTTTCTGCTGTCCTCCTGGGCAGCTGCAGCAGGGGGTGAAGCCATGAGAGGTAAAAGGAGGTAGATGGGGGGTGAGGGTTGCAGCTGGGATGCCCAGGACACTGGGACTTTCGTCCTTCATCTGAAAAGTGAAGAATCAGAGAAGAGAAGAGAGAAAAACCTGCAAAATGAGGTAGGCGGAGAGGAGCTGCACGGATTGCTTTAGAGAGGAGAGGAGAAGTGAGAAGCCAAAGGCCAGAGAGGAAGAGCTGGGTGGAGAGGAAGGGGCGGCTCCTGAGCCTGGAGACTGAGATAAGGGAAAAGAGCAGAGGCTTGGGACTAGTTACAGAGAGGGCCCAGACCCAGCGGGACAGACCAGCCAGGGCCCTCCGATTCCAGATTTCTGTTCCTTCTATTTGTTAGTCAAACCTGGGAACAGAGACCTTGGGAGAGGAATAGAGGCAAGGAGTGCCAGAGAGAGGTCAGCCCAGAACAGTACGTGGAGGTGATGGAATCCTAAAACCAGTAAACATTAAAGCTGGAAAGGATCTCTAAAACCTAGTCCAATCTTCTCCTTTTATGGGTGGGAAAACAGGACCAGAGTTGACACACTGTTAGTGCGAGAGCTGGGTCTGGAATGTAGATAGATGCAGGAAGATAGATACAGATGGAGGGGGACTGAGATAGCCCAGGGCTGAGAAGGCCTGTGGAGGACAGGCTGGGTTCTCAGTCTCCACAGCCATTACTGCTTTGGGGGGCTCTTCTGGGGATGGCGGAGAGCAACTTCCTCAGCACTGCTCCACTGAAAAATCAGCGCTGGTACCGGAACTTGACTTCCAAGGCCCCTGCTGAAACTGTAAGCCTGATTCTGGCCCCTACACTCCTGTTCCTGGGCACTCCCTCCAGCTACTGTTCTCACAGCTGTCCCCTCTGGCTCCTGCTCACACTTACTCTGCGGAGATCTGGCTGACCAGCTCGAAGGAGCCAAACCCAGCAGCTGCAAAACTTTCTTCGTATCTTCCCATCTTGATGGCGCGAAGCCACTCTCCCACAGAGCCAAAAGCTGAGTAGTGAGGCTGCCGCTGGTCCAGAAGTGGGTGTGAGGCTCTGGGGACAAGGATGGGAGAAATACTGAGTACCAGGCTGTCAGGGCAGAGGTGTCGAGCACAGCCTTGGAGAAGCGGACAGAAACCATCGCGCATACCCCTAAGGGGAGGGAGGGCTACTTCTGAGTGAGGAATGAGGGGCTCTCAGGTGGTGGCAGTGTAGGGAGAAGGGCCCGTCCTCTGGAGTCCTCACCCGCCATTCTCCCTGGCCACGATTTTGAGGCTGGCAGGGTTCCGGATCATCTTGTCAAGGGCGCTGACCACTTGAGGGAAGCGAGGCCTTGCATTCCGGTCTTTCTGCCAGCAGTCCAGCATGAGCTGGTGGAGGGAGGTGGGGCAGTCTGGGGGCGGGGGGAGCCGGGAG